TTCCAGTATGAAGAAGCAGACTAACAGATTGAGACAGATTTGGCTTCTAATTAAAGATAGGTGAGAAAAAAGAAGGGCAGTTAGTACAAATTACAAAATCTAACATACTTAAATGACTAAACAATTGAAAGAAATACACCTTCTTGATGTTGGATCCCTTTGTCTGAATTCGAGGTAGCACCTACATGAACTTTGAAAACACTGAACTTCTGCTTAGAAAGGCAATTATTTTTACACATTTTAAATCTAGAAAAGGATGTCATCTAGAATTTAGAATTACTCAGTAAGACATTTGTTATATCTTTATTCATTATACTGGTTTGTTGTGAGACCCTGGGAAAGCAGTAAGACATCCAAATGTAGCTTTTCGCACAAGGCTGGACACAGGCTGTTTTCTGTCAAGGCTGGAAGTTAAACAGAAACCTGGTCCCTTTGAGCTTAGTCCATGGCAAAACTCCACTTACAAGGCAACAGTATCAGACTCTTAATACTAAATAGCATATAGAAGGACAGTGTGAAATCATAGAACCACTGGGACACATTTCAAATGGAAAATGTGAACTCAAGGGAAGAATGAAATCAAGAAGCACAAAAATTTAGCTCTTGATTTATCCAAATCTGACAGCAGTACTTCATGTAACAAAAACCAGATCAACTTGGCAAAAGGTTTTCCTTTTTTACAGGAGGTTTAGTTTTAATCTGTGATCGTGATAGATTGTCCATGGTCAAGAACCCTGCACTGATGTAAAAAAATGGTATTACTTGACACCCTAGTAACACAGACTTTCCATTGTGTAACAGTGCTGTTGTGTTCCCAGTTTTTTCACATCTGCTTACCAATGTACTGTATATATTTGGGTGGGTTTTTTAAAGTTGAAAACACAGAATTGTTAGCCCAAATGGCTTTCAGACATGCCTTGAGCATGCTTTTAATTTCTAGCTCCTTTTCCTTTCAAAAGTTCTTGCAGTTTAGCAACTTCATTTGCACCAACAGACCTCCAAGTTTGCTAGGAACTTGGCTGCAAAGGCTCTATGAACAAATTTAGAGTTCCGCCAATATATAGGTGCAAGATGAAGATCTGAGCATTCAGACCCTCTATCTGAGCCTTTTCATAGATCCATGTAACACTGTTCTGCAAAAGTGGACCTTTGTTATGCAAGTGATGTGTATAGAGAGTGTATCAACTTGTTTTAGAGGTAAATGTTACTTTTTTACCGCTGTTTTTTCCTTCAAGACAGGGCAGGTAAGAAAAATTAGGTTGCTATGACTTACTGAGAGTATGAGTAGGTCTACACTAACTACAGTCCAAAAGCTAGGTTTCAGTTATTACAGGCCTTCCTAACCTACCTTTACATTAGCTAGCCTAAATATAAACAACAGGTTTAGTTATAAGCTGGACTGTTATAGTTAGGCACTATTGTGGTTAAAAAATCGGAAAGCATAAATGCACCTTTTGAGCTATGGTCTCGGGAATGGGTCATTCAGGGATGATCTAAATTTAAACCTATTAATTCAGAATAGATTCATAAAACTTTATTAAAGCTATCTTCCTTTACACTTCTGTTAAGAAGTACAAACCCAGCAATTTAAACAGACAAGCGGAAGCCAAACCCCAGTGAGTTACCACTGAGATGTATTACATGATTACCCTCTTGTTCTTGTTGCAGACTGGACTAAAGCATAGTTTAAAGTGTCATGAAAATGGCTTAAACCAAGTTGTTGGGGTTTTTTTGCAATTTATACTTTGTTGTGAGTGTCTGTATAGGAAACAAATAGTTTAGTACTGTGCAACTATGCAAAATGCAAAATTAATTCTGCAACTAAATGATAGCATTAGCAACTGATGCAATTTTACAAAATTAACAGGCCTGCTTATTGAATGCTCCAGTGCACTGGTTAAGGACTTCTGAGCAGAAACATGGAAGGGAATCACTTTGGGACAGCTTTTAACTTATAATTAGGAACAACTGCTGTGATGTGACATCCATGTTACCATCAACAAAGGTATGTACTTAAGTGTCTGTTTGCTCCTATAGACTGAAAGCAGTTCAGGTAGTCACACCTCTGTGAAGGTATAGTTTAGGGGGTTTCACTAACAGAGATTAAGTTTCTGAACAAAAGCACATGTTGGTTTTGTAAAGGTAACAGTTTGGAAAAAGCCCCCTTGCCAAAAAAGAGCACAACGGTTACTATACAATCAGATGAAATCCCAGCATACTGCTTTTTTGCCACTTTTCAGACTGGAACTGCAATGAAGAGGGATGAGCCTCAGCTGTTCTGTGTTTTATATAGTATGTGTAGAATTTAAAGCTATTTGACATTTTGGTTCAGTTAGGTGAATTTTAAAATAACTTTCATATATTTTTCACCATATTTATTACAGGCAAGATGCAGTAACTTCAGTTTTACTGTAAGTCTGCTTTTGCTTTTTGCTCTTGTACATTTGTACAATGAGTAGCTACTGGGTTTCACTGCTTCATGGTAAATCTAAAGTAAAGTAATAGAAGAGTAAAATAGTTCCTACTTTCAAGAAATTTGAAGAGCAGTTTAGGAAAACTTTAAATATTTAGAACTGTCTTTTTATTCCCACTCCAAATTTGGTAGCAACTTTGCACATAGATCAATAAGCCAAAATTATCATGAATGAAGAAAAACCACTTCCAATACATTTTAGAGTATTAAGCTGGAAACAGATACCTGAAATCAATATTCACATGGTTATTCCATTCCCACTGGTTTCAAAGGACCTGCAAATGTTTTAAATTAATAATTCATTTTGTGTCTAATCTGAACACATTAACTGTGTAATATTGCTGACTTTTCTATTTTAAATGTGTCTGTGGTAATTTATGCATAAATCAGGAATCAAAAAATCAAATTTACTTTGATGAACTCCATTTTTAACACTGCTTCTTATTTCCATACCAGAAAGTTGTTATATTTGTTACCAGTCCAGACACTGAGTCATTCTTGTTTAAACCAGACACTAGGCTCTCTGTGTAATTTCTCTCTCCCCTTCAGAGTTCTTGGACTGAGAGGAAAATTGTAATGCCAGGTGCCTCCCCTAGCTCCATTTCTAAAGGTATTACTGTAAAAACACATGGAGGTGCTAAATGCTGCCAAGCAGCAATGGAAATTCTCTGAGCTCTGGTTATTTCAGATGCAGCTAAGTTAGGGAATACCACCTGACTCTGACAATATGTACAGACTCACTGTTTCCGGTTAGAATGCTTCATCTTCTCTGCAAAAACCTCTCTCCTGACACTTTATGATGATGCAGTGATAGTCTATGGCCTATTTCATATGAGGTAACCTGGCATTTAAGGGTAAGAACTCTGAAAGTTTCTCTCTGGATTTAATTTTATTTTTTTCTGAAAAATTTTGTGGAACTTTTAGCAGAGATGAAATGCAAAGATTTAGATATTGTTCATATTTTGTGTTAAAAACCTGTGTGTGATATAGGTTTTAAATGTGGGTGACACCAGCAACTTGGTTGCTCTTCTTTTTGCAAACAAATAATGCTGGAATGCTGTGTTACCATATGGCCCCCCTTTGAACAACGCCTGTTTTCAAAATTATCTGTTTGATTCCAAAGCATAAAATTGAATTGATTTTCAAGGGGATTCAGTTTCCTAACTCACTTCTATTGGTTGTGTAATACAACTTGGCTACTTATGTATAGATGCTTAGACTCACACACCTCCATTGCACTGGTGCTTTAGCAGCCATAGATGTAAAGAAGTTCGAGTCTTTCAAATTTATCATTTTTCAGTAATTCTTGTTTTTACCACTAGATGGCTTCCCAGGATAGTGGATATAGATCCAGATTAACATGTGGGCCTGGATTCATTTTGGCACATTCTTCATGACATAGAGAGTCATAAAACCGAAGTTCTTTCCAGCTCAGCTGTGAAGACAGCAACATGAGGTTTGACATCCTTGGGCATCTTTTGACATCCTCAAAGTTTTATTTCTGCTTGATGCCACAACTTCAAACTGTGCATGAACCGCTCTCAGTTCAAATGTGCAGTTAGATCCTCCTCAGAAATGCTTAACCAGTACAACTGAAAACATAACTTACCTGCCTAATGCTTAACAGTGCAAACAACCAAGCTGTGGGACCTAGTTGCATTATACTTTGCCCTTTCTCCTGTTACAACATAGTTTAAAGTGCTATGGAGACCTTCTTATGTTGCAACTATGCCCTCATAGCTGCGCAGAAAAGTCTTGGAAAGGGAAGGGAAAAAACCCACCCTTTGTTGTGAGAAAGTGAGTCTCTCTCCTTCCTTCAGAGCCTGCCTTTTCTGTTGCACCACTACAGATCACCAGTTTTCACCAATGCAAGCATCTTCCAGCTTGGAAAATCCATGAGGTGTCACGTTGTCCATAAAAACACTGGTCCAATGGTAATAGATTTGGAGGATTATCAGCCTAGGCTGGATCCAGCCTGCCGATCTAGGGCTGAAGGAAGTTCTCCCCTCCACACCAGCTGGTCCCGGGCAAGCAGTTCTCTGCCAGGGCTCCCTAAGGCAGAGATGGCTCCCTTGAACTCAGCCTTAACCCTGACTCTGTCTGGAGCTGCTTTTTCCCGGGCTCAAGTCAGCCCACAGCACCTTCTTTCTGGGGAGCGCAGGTTGGGGGGGGGGAAGCAGGGGCTGCCCGGCTCGGATACAGCGCGCTTCAGTTCCAGCTGCTAGCCCAACGGGGCAGGCAGCTAGCCCAAGGGGGCACGCTTGTGCAAGCCCAGCGGGGCGCGCTGCTAGCCCAGCGGAGCAGGCTGCTAGCCCCGACTTGCTGGCCGCAGCTGAGCAGCCAGCGGCCGCCGCAGCCTGCCTGCATGTGTGAGTTTATGTGCAGCGGCTCCCGGCTCGCTCTGGGGGAGGGGAGAGCAAAGCCAGCCACTCACAGAAACAGTAGTGAAATCTCCCCAACACTTTAACTGTCAATCAGGCTTAATGGGGTATAAAAACTCCCCAGCGCCGCGGCTGTGATAGGCAGAGAGAGCAATAGGGAGAAATGAGTAAGAGCCAGAGCTGAAACAGTGTACGGCATAATTCCTGCTCTGTGATCACAGTTACTCCAAGTGAAAAAAAAACAGGAGAGGGGGCAGAGAGAGGCGGTAATCAGCTCAACCTTTGCAACCGGCTCAGGACAGAACGTCTATAGATATTTATAGATATTAAAACAAAAACAACCTTACCCTGAATAGAGCCTTTCTTAAAAAGAAGGTCCTGGCAATTCTGTCTTATTTAAGCAATTTCCTGAGTCTAAGAATAGAAATGAGCTGCCTGGAAGGCACTGCAGGCTGAAATTTGGAGACATAGGCTGCTTTATTTTATATTTCCAAGTATAAAAACCTTCCATTTGGATACTGGATTTTTATGTTGGTCTTTGAAGCGAAGGGATGTATGGCTACTTTTAATTTTACTTTTTTTTTTCCTCTCTTATTTAATTTTAAAAAACTGTCTTCCAGTTAAAAAGCAAGGAAACCGTTTTACCTGCATGTGACAATCCCAGAGGACACCGATCAAGAAACAGGGAGTGACTTGGTCTTCTGCACTACTTTACTCCTACCCCATTTTTTTTAGGGGGAGAGAAGGATTTTTCAGTCCAAGAATCCCTTGCCCCCAAGTTTTGGAAGGGGGTTGAAGACTTGTCACCCATCTGGGGGTGCATGAAGGGTATTGGTTTTCTTTCTCTGTTAACTTGGTTTTGTGAAGGGTTGGAAGAGAATCTTGCCTTCCTGACTTGCCTGGAACAAGAGGATGATTTGGAAATGGCTGGGCGCTTTGCTGCTTTTCCCCGTGCAGATGGTTTATCTGGTGGTGAAAGCTGCCGTGTGCGTGGTGCTGCCGCCCAAGCTCCGAGACCTGTCCGGGGAGAACGTGCTGGTCACCGGCGGGGGCAGAGGCATCGGTCGCCATCTGGCCAGGGAGTTTGCTAAGCGAGGAGCCAGAAAGGTGAGCCCCGGCATGAGGGGGGGAGCGCCCACCTGCTGCTCTGCTGGGAGTCCTCCCACTCCGAGACTTAAAAGCCTCCAGATGGGATTGATGGGATCACTCTGAAAAGGGGAGAGGGGGCAGTAATTTTGCAAAACCCTGGCGTGCTGAGCCATTACGCTGACTTACGTTTCAGAAGTTGCCCACTCCTCCTTCCCTGCGTCCTGTCTCTCCCCATCTCATCTAAGAAAATGTGAAGGTGAGAAAGGGGCCCCCTCGTGAATCCTCCTCTGCTGACAAAGGAGAGGTTTGAGCTCCAGCCTGGGTTTCCTGTGGCAGGGAGAGGAGGGCTATGCAATTCCCATGCGTGCAGCTAGTGCTCCCTTCCACTGCTGTTTATGGGGCTGCTTCCCGGCGGTGCTGGCTGCTGGGACCCTGTACCAGCAGAGAGGGGGGCAGCTGACTGCCGGCTCCAGCCTTTCAGGCTGAGCACATCTTCAGCTCTCCTTAGGCACAGCCACACTGCTGCTGCCACGCGTGTCGCCCCGGAGGAGAGGGGCTTGGCTCGGAGAGGAGCAAATGGTGCCTGCAGGAGGGCTCTGGGTCTGGCTCCTAGTAATGCATTCTCTCAGGAAAGCGGGGAGAAGAGTTCAGTTTCACCCTGATGGTTTTCCATTCGCAAAATTAATTTCTTGTGCTTTCTGAAGTCCCTTAAATTTTGCTTTTGGCCAGCCCAGAGCTGTTCAAAGGTAAGATGACACAGCAAGGAAGAAAAACACAACATGAGTAGGAGCTGTGAGATGGTTTAAACATTTCCTTTAGGAAGGAGGGAAAGGGAGAGAGGCTGAGAGACTGGTCTGTCTCCACAACAGCCTGGGAATGCCAGTGTAGCCGGTGTGTCCATTCTCTAGCTCAGGAGCTGGTGGTTTACCTTGAAACGTTGTGTTTTCATAGGTACAGGTGTCTCCATACATGTGAATCAGGAATACGAAAAACATACATACCCTGAAATGAGGCTTGAGATTTAAAGTTTCATCTTCCCCTCTATGGGTAATGAAAGGGAGGAATCATGAAATTAGACAGCTGAATAAATAAATACTTCTCTCTGTGAGAGAGGATGAATGGGAGTAAATAGAGAATAAAGAAGAAAAATACAGAATGAGAGGATATTTAAAGAAAAATTTGCATTTAGTTTGGGGTAGTGTTTTGTCACTTCCTTACACATACATTACAGTTTTCTATGTGTGGTACAGAGCTATTCTGGCATACAACTCTGAGGTGTAAAATATGTCAGCATTGAACTTTGATGTTTGTATATGCTTGTGTTTAAACATCATGTTGAGATTTACAAATTCTTGGAGACAGAGCAAACAAGTTGACTGACCTTTGGACCTAAGCAATTTGCTGAAAGTGTATTTATATTATCTGTTAGAATGCCATGCCTCATTATTTATTTATTTAGTCCGGCTGGTTGCTATGCTAAGCTCTGGTATTAAAGTACCACCATTTCTACAGCTAATTCAAGAGCTGCTTAGCTGCAGCTGAGCTAGAAGCTGAACAATGGCAGTCAGCCCTAATGAACCAGGTGGCATGGGCCAAAAGGAGAGGGAGCTATTTAAGACGAAGAGCTGAGGGTGAAATTACTGTAAAGAGATACAGACTGGAGTTCATTTGTATGTCTTATCTATAAAATCTCTACATATCTCAGAAGGAAAGAATATATGAGAATAATTGTTGGGAAACTTTGTCCTTGTCTGACATGTTGTGAAATGCTGTGTGGTTGCTAATTATCATTTAGAACTTTGGGGGGTTTTGCCTTACAGTTTTTTTCCTATGTCTGTCATCAAACTGTTTCAGTTTTTGCTTTTACTGAATTTGAATTAGATTTAGATTCTCCTTTCAGTTATATCCTGGCTATCCAGGAAGTCAAATATGGCACTCGGCAAGTTTTGATCCTCTCTGGTAGTGGCACTAACTTTTTGCCTTTGGTAGTGGCACATTTTCCCTGTGACACCAAAGTAGGCTTATCCTTTTCTTCCTTAACATTTTTAATGACAGTTTTACCTAGATGTGGTAGTTTCCATTCCCTTTGCTGTGACATTTCAATTCTTTCCTGCCATCTGTGCTCAACCCTAACTTTGTGAATTTAATGCAGTCTCCATGTAGAATGCAAGACCTCTGTTTGGCACTACGGTTTGATTTTATGCTTTGCCTTAGGCAATCAAAAAGAAATGAAAGACTTGACGTGGCTAGCAAGTCATCTTTCAATAAGGCTTGTGAAAATTAACTATTCTATTTTTCTGTTGTCTTCTTACGCAGTTAACTGTTTTACAATTATATGCAAAGCTTCACTTATTGATCATAATTAATAATTTGTAACTGATTCTGATTATCAGATGGTGTGATCACAATATTCCAAGTTTAGAAAAACACTTCCACCAGAGGCGTGAAATTTGAGGCCAAGCACAGTGTTACATAGAGGTAAATGGAAATGGTAACATATGGATTCAGATTCTAATAGTGGGTGTGCAGTGTATCTTGGAAAAAGTCATCACAGCGCTTGCGCACACAGACATAGTGGCGGAGTTTTGGAGGTAGGCGGCGATATATAACCATATTTTTGAGATTAGAATCTTCTGAAAGATGGGTTAGTTGAGACTGTTAGCATATGAAATTTCCTCTGATAATTAGACTGGATTGGATTTCATCTTACACTCTCTCTTTATTTTCAGAGCCTGGTTTTGCTAATCACAAATCAGAGGTATCTGAGCAGTTTTCACGTAAGATGACAAGTGCTGTATCTCACTAAGATACGAATTGTCACATCTGCAACATTTTTACTGTAAAATTCAACCTGGCGTTTAAAGTTATGAAGATGGCAAGAGATAAATCTAAAAAGTGTTTATGCAAATGAAAATACAGCGTTTTCTGGTTGATAGGTGAGCATGGAGACTGAAATTCTCCGTCCAACAGAATGGAAGTCTCTTGGGCACGATCATATAAATCCATCCTGATTCCTATTCTTATAAATCCATTGCTCTGCCATTGTGCCTCAAATATGACTTGGACAGATAAGTGTCTAGGAGACGATCCCTTCTAAGGTGATGGGTTTTTTCTCATCGTTATTCATTGGCTTCTGATGAAATGACCAATAAAGGGACAAAATGGTGTCAGTTGTATTTTCAGTTACAGAAGTGTGTATCTTCTAGTTTTTAAAATTAAGACTACTAGTGATTTTTAGGCAATGAGAGACTTTAATCATTAGATTATCCATCCCTGTTCAGGTGTATACTAAAAGGTCAAAGGATCCACACTCCTTTTTTACTTTCAGATAGAAGTTTTCAAAAGCAACTTGGCCATGGGAGTCATTGTGTATTTAAATGCTTCCTGTAGCACTTCTGGACAAAAACAAAAGCATGTAAATTTGCTGAATGCAGAGAAAGAGTGGTTTACAGATGATATGGTACATGTTAGTGTTATTATGAGGGATGAATAGCATTGAATTTTCTCCAGAAGTGCTCAAGTATTGTAATTGAACTTTCATGCTGTTCACCAGAGACGTGTCCAGATTCAGAAGTGCTGGTTGAGGATTTACTTTGCTGCTGATAAATTGCTGGAGAAATGCACTTTTTTGCTTTCAGTTCCTTCTTTGTTGCTTGCAAAATTCAAAATTTTCACTGTTGCTGGTTTTAACTCTTGAGAATTTTGAATAGACCTTAAAAGTATTTGACCAATAGAGCACCGCTTCTGCCTCAGTCTCACACATTGGTAGCTTTGTTCAGGCTCTTACCTTTCCATATTCTGTGGTTAGCCAAAATGGCAGAGTGTATCTGTGTTAATGAAAAGTGAGAAGGAGAGATTTTTATGAGTTTATGATTTCATGCCTATGAAATAAAAGTCTCCTTCCAAAGCCTAATGGTGTTTTGCAAAGAATACATTGTATAATCAAGTTAATGTTGGGAAAACTGGCCCCTTTGAACAATATTTCTTGTGTGGAAGAACAACCCTCTACAGAGGTGAGTAATCAGGGGGATGTACGGGCTGAATGGGTTCATTCAGTGGTGGTTAGAGTTGGAAAATGCTTCTGGTTTCCTCTAAGCCACTTGCTTTTCCTACAGCATTTTCTGTTATAGTGCCCTTGCCAAAGAGCTGTCAGCCCTGATTTTGATGATGTCCAATAATGAAGTTTTGATTCGTATGTCTTTTGTATGTCATTTGTATGTCTTGCTCTTTGCTAGGCTTTCTTTAAGGGCATTTCCTTGATGTCTAAATATTTTCCTTGTAATTTTAATTTACTTGGTTCGCGGATTATTTAATCTGAGGTTTGAAGAAGAAAGAGATATTTGGTTCTTAGGCATTCTGGATTATTAAATGTCACCAAAACCTAATAAAAGTAACTGAAAAAGATATCATTATAGGATAGAAACAGATTCCCCAACTCTAATATGTATTTCAGTATTCAAAGTTATCTGACAGTGTCTTTGGAAGACTTTCTTAGGCCCTTCCTGTTTGGAAGCTGGTCAAAAGCCACTGATTTTCATTAGTTTTTTTATTTGCATGGAGGGCTCTGGGCTCAGAAATCAGCAGTATGGATCTTCAGTAGTGTATCTAGAAGGGATCTTGTAGAGCAGTGCTTTTCTATTGTTCCTTTGTGATCATTTCTGTTATCTCTCTTTCAAAGTGTGTATATTTTGCCCTCCTGTGTTTGCTTCTTGTTTTTTCCCTTCCGGCTCTGATATGTTTGAGTTCTTGGTAACTACAGCTGTTGATGAATGAACAAGTGGGCTTCTAGGGAATCAGGGGTGTTTTGGCATGAGAGATGCCTCCAAAATACCAAATGGGTTAGGGGCAGACCTGGCCTTGTGTTGGTGTGATGGAACTGCAGAGAAGCATTGCACAAATCCTATTAACCTTGTTGAGAGTTCTTCACATTCATCACTGTTCAAGAAATGACCTTGCAAATACACTGAAAGATCCCTCCTTTCACTGTTTCGTCCTCTGGACATTCACTTCCTGAACTG